TGCCATAAATACAAAAATTAAATTATTCCTTGAAAAATGCCTGCCACTTTCACCTCTACGTCAAGGTATACCGTATCCAAATATCACCAAGAAATTGGTGAATATGTAGGTTAACCTGTGTGGAAATAATTGGTTGTTTTGTTTGTTCTTAGAAACTGAATTAATTTCATGACTTCCCACTCTAGAGGCATCCTTCAAATGATCTGTAACACCTGAGCCATCCAGTGCCTTCCACATCAACACCTGCAACTTAGTCAACACTCTCTCTCTCTCTTTCTTTTCCCTGTCTCTCTTTTTCTCTCTCTTTCCCTCTTGCTCTCTTTCTCACCTTCTTTTCTCTCTCTCTCTCCCCCCCCAAACTCTCTCTCTCTCTCTCTCTCTCTCTCTCTCTCATATATACATATCAGCTATCCCTCAACCTAGATACTATTCATTCATACAAGTATATGTACAATTAACTTATTCCTTGAATTCCAACAGAATGACCAAATTCATTTGATTACCAGCCAATCAATGCAAAGGAAGCAAAATGTCAACACCTTTATAATGATAGGTTTCAGCAGGAATCATGCATTTGGCACATAGCACATTGATTTAGTGGTACTAGTTATATTTGATCCTTCTTAAAATAAATATGAACGGTTTCCATGGTGATTGGCATTTGAGGTTCTAAGCAAGTGTATATGCTCAAGCCTAGAAATTATACTTTATGTCACAATAACTAAAATAAGTTCATGTAATGAGTGCTTGCGATACCAAAATTCATAAAGAACAATACAGTCTTAAGGTTTAAGACAGTACATGTGTGCATTCATAAATTCAAGACTATGTTTTTCATTCATTTTTTTTTACTTACAGACCTGTATAATCTGAAAAAATAAAGCAGACAAACCTTAAGCTTCTAAATAGACTTTTATAACTGTTTATTAACCTTAAAATGGCATACATATGCCATGCTTAAACACAAAACAGTGTTAAGTATAAAAACATCATCAAGTGCTGTTAAAGAAGGTGACTGTTAATGAAGATAGATGGCAAATTTTACTCATAACTAGCAATAATTTTTTTGCAAGTTTATTGGTCTGTCAACAGAAATATAATCACCAATGTATAAAATGTTATCATGCCCATTACTTTTAATGGATAGGCCATCGAAAGTTTGTTTAAAAGGATTATTTCCTCCAACTAATTTGTCTACTTTGCCTTACAAGTGGTCAGATATAAATCTATACAAATTACTTCCGCTTTCAAAGTGTAATCTCTGCCCCACACATTAGTATTTGTGCGAAAGCTGCTGAGGAAGGCTTGATCTCTAAGGGTCTATTCCCACAACTTTAGATCGATCTATCACCGCGGGGAGTCTCACCAGACTACCGTCAGATAATCCCCCTTAAGTGTCCGTCCCCGCCCACTACAAGCCGTAAGGGGCAATTAACTTTCGTGTCCGCCCGGCTGACAGCTATTCAGCGCGAACCCCCAGGGAGTTAGGTCGATCCAAAGTAGGTCGATCTAATCTATGGNCCAAAACAAAGATCAATCATGTGTCATTTGTGTAGGCCTACCTGAAATATGATTTAAAATGATCCTCTTTGGCACCTCAAATAGGCCCTATAGGCCTACGTGCCGCCTCTGATATTGAATAAGAGTGGGCCTATAATTTCCTCTTTGACATGCTGAAATTTATCGAGCATGAAAAAGGTCAGTAACGATTTTTTTCTCTCATAATGTCAATACAAAAGTCAACATTAAGTGTTATTTTGTGAGAAAAAATTTATTTATTTCACAAGTCGCTTAATTGAGTCTAATAGCGCTCGTAGCGTTCTCTAGCGGCAGTTTACAGTGAGCAGAAAGCACCCACAGCTATGCAACATCAAAGGCATTTTTATGAGATCTTGGAATAACCTACTTCAACCTCTTGAAAGTGGATGTTTTGAAATAATTTCATTAAGCCGAGAACAAGAAATACAAACAATAGGCTAAGGGATGAGACAAGTTAGGCTACAATACTTATAGCAGTAAAAGACGGCCGTGTTTACGTCTACAGCGATCGATGTAGGCCTACCCGTAACCAGTATGAAAAAGTTAGAAATCGAGATCGGAAACTGACAGTAACACGTGCAGACGAAAGCGGACGATAAACGGCCTTAAAACTTGCTTGAATAAACGTAAGTTCATTATTAATTTTATCAAATTTGAGAACAACGAACTTTCAAACGCTAACACTTCTATTGTATCAGGTCGTAACATGCGTCTGCATAGCGCGTTTGATACATTGTAGCAGACGCTTGAAACTTTCGTGGCAACGGGGATTTTTTACGCTCTGCATGCTGGGTAAAAAGAGCAAACTTCCGGTTTTGTTCCATAATCCGGGGTCGTTCCATAATGCGGGGTCGGGGTCTATACATATCAGCTATCCTTCAACCTAGATACTATTCATTCATACAAGTATATGTACAATTAACTTATTCCTTGAATTCCAACAGAATGACCAAATTCATTTGATTACCAGCCAATCAATGCAAAGGAAGCAAAATGTCAACACCTTTATAATGATAGGTTTCAGTCTATTTAAAGCAGGAATCATGCATTTGGCACATAGCACATTGATTTAGTGGTACTAGTTATATTTGATCCTTCTTAAAATAAATATGAACGGTTTCCATGGTGATTGGCATTTGAGGTTCTAAGCAAGTGTATATGCTCAAGCCTAGAAATTATACTTTATGTCACAATAACTAAAATAAGTTCATGTAATGAGTGCTTGCGAATACCAAAATTCATATAGAACAATACAGTCTTAAGGTTTAAGACAGTACATGTGTGCATTCATAAATTCAAGACTATGTTTTTCATTCATTTTTTTTACTTACAGACCTGTATAATCTGAAAAAATAAAGCAGACAAACCTTAAGCTTCTAAATAGACTTTTATAACTGTTTATTAACCTTAAAATGGCATACATATGCCATGCTTAAACACAAAACAGTGTTAAGTATAAAAACATACTCAAGTGCTGTTAAAGAAGGTGACTGTTAATGAAGATGGATGGCAAATTTTACTCATAATTAACTAGCAATAATTTTTTTGCAAGTTTATTGGTCTGTCAACAGAAATATAATCACCAATGTATAAAATGTTATCATGCCCATTACTTTTAATGGATAGGCCATCGAAAGTTTGTTTAAATGGATTATTTCCTCCAACCAATTTGTCTACTTTGCCTTACAAGGGTCAGATATAAATCTATACAAATTACTTCCACTTTCAAAGTGTAATCTCTGCCCCACACATTAGTATTTGTGCGAAAGCTGCTGAGGAAGCCTTGACCTCCAAGTATAGTTTTAGCCAGGCTGAATCAGCTTGATTACAATTCACCTCTAGCTGTCACTAAAGCATGCCCCATCAGAGTTATGTAATCTTATATGGTAATAATTATGGGAGCATGGGGCATCAAATGAACTGAAAAAAAATGAACAAACAGTTTAACATAAATACTGAATGCATACCCGCACAACACATGTATGGCTGTGAGATGTTCAGGATGGAAGGAAATGTTCTACATATCAGGGAACTCCAACAACAGGTGTCTATTTGCCTGCCTAATGGTCTTCTGCCAAAAAATATACAAACTTCACATTAGTGAATACAGGCAGCTCTATCTGGCTTTTTCAGAAGACATAAAATTCTTGACAGACACTTGAACAATGTAAGAAGGGTAATTTGCTATATCTGAATGACCTTGGAAGTCAGACTGGTTTACCTGGATCAGCGTCAGGTGTGAGACGGAGTACAGGTAAGTCAAGGTGCCAAGGGCCAACTGGTTAATTCACAATGGAACTGGTCTGAACTCTATACCAAAATTTCAGTCTATACTACTTTGACCAAAGGTAAATTGGTAGTAGACCAATATGAAATACTGTGCCTTATTTCATCACACTTAAAACCTGGCTTATGTTTCAGTTCAATACTTACATGTTTATGTTATTAGGTACTAGGAAATTTTAGATGATGTCTATGACTTCAAATGAAGTAGACCAATTTTATTCTAAAATTACTGTGGCTTGATAAGCCTCTTTTCTCTTCAATGTCATCTTCTCCTGTGATTAAAATTTCATTCGTGTATATTCTGCACATGATCAAAGTAAAATGGATCAATCCTTTTTTTCTGTTTTCATGTTATATCTATACTTAATTTGCTTTCGATAAAAATAATTTACCCTGTATCCCCCCCCTCCCTCTCCCACCCTAATTAATCAAGTAGTTTTCAACCACATCCTTTTCCATTGCATGTCTTGTATATGCCAGCCAATATCTAAAAAAAACATGACATTTACCAAAAGGATACACTAGTAGCAATACTTGTATGATAACTAAACAAACTTGGTAGTTGCTTCCCCTTTACACATGCATATATTTAGGATCCAGATCCTAGCATATAACAATGTGGTGGGTAAATACACCTTTTTCCAAATTACATGCCCTACTGCATTTCAAGTGAAACGTATGCATTTTCTGGCATGAACAAGAGATATGAGACATATAAAAACCTATGTAAAATTACTTGCTTAGTCAAAGCCCTTGGAACGCAGCAAAATGATTTATACATCACGTAATCAAATAAATGAACTGTAATACAATCATGGTAAATGTATAGCTGGGTACACTGAAGAGGGCACTGCTTGCGTCATTGAATCAGATACAAAGGAACAAAATGGATATAAATCAAAGATCTCTGGAGTCTCTGAACCACTAGAATTGAATTACTGTGTGTGTGTGTGTGTGAGAGAGAGAGAGAGAGAGAGAGAGAGAGAGAGAATTTTAACCCACTACATTAACAACTGAACTGCAGCAGTATGTTTGTGACTTTGCATGCATGTGTATGTTAATTAGTCCTTGTATGTATACTTTCATGTATATACTTACCTGTGTGCATGCACACACCACACACACACACACACACACACACACACACACATACACACACGTGCGATGAGCCTTACCCTGAAAGACAGGACAGATGTTCCATGCCCCCAGTCCTCCTTGACTCATGAACTGTCCCAATGACACCTCCAGGAAGAAGACAGGGATGCCTCCTCCCACCAGGAAGATGAAGTACGGGATCAGGAACGCACCTAGAAAGAATTAAAAAGCATGTCACAAATCTATTTTATTTCTTAATATATATATTTAAGTTGACAACATTTATTTAAAACAGGAGAAATATCTGTATGGGATCAGGAATGCCCCTGAAAGATGGAATGAAAACAAACGTCAAAGACCTATATGTTTATTACTTAATATCTCAGTTGACAACATCTATTTAAAACAGAAGGAGAAATATCTGGGCATAAATCTAAGGTTTTTCTGAGAGCTAGTATTACTTTTGGCCCATTTCTTTCAGTACACACCTGTGGCTCATGTTAACCCAGATGTGAGAAGGTACAAGTTCCGCCTTCACCTCCTCCCCCACCTTTACAGCTTCCTCTGCCCTTAAACCCTGTCTGACCTACACGTTTCAGGGAGCATATATAATATACCTGTGTCCTGAACAACAACTCAAAGCAATGATACCAAAATGCATACTAGTACATTGATATCCTTTAGTCACTTTGATCACCCTGTAGTGCAGGGTGTTTGTGACAAGTAATGTAGGTGAGTGAACTAGCACTTTTAAAGTTCACAGTGAGATCTCTGAACGTCTGGTTTAAGCCACCTGCACACTGCTTCCTTCCTTGTAAGAACACAGTGTGAATTAAGGCAAGTTTTTTCACCTTTACCTCTTAGCACCAATGTCTAGCATCAACTTGCTGTTACTCTATCTTTTCAGTTCAACACTCAGTCAACAGACTAATATATCAGATGCAATACTGTGTTATAAATGTGAACATCTGATAGATGTAGAAGCCAAATTACAGCCCAACTCTTATCCTCTGACATCCACCTAAAAATGTTAACTCCAGGGGATAAAAACCAATTTTCAACAGAAAAAATCCCTCCCTAACAGAGTGAGGTGGGTACATCTCTTTCTGTAGTATTCATTTTAATAACCACTGCAAACTTTATACTTTTCCTTGTGCACAAACTTAGTAGTATCAGGGCTTTTTCAGTCTCGCTGCCCGTCTGTCTCCTTTGCCTGGGCGGATTTTTTTTGTCTCAGCAGAAAAAGGTATAATCCCGGGGGGCCTTTGCTCACAAAATGTGTATGCAAATAACTGGATATGGCGTGAATCACCGCCTACATGTATCAAGTCAATGCAAATTTATACTGAGACAGTGAGACTAGTCATCATGAGTATTTTCATACACAAAGTGGCTGATGATTGGGCCTCTTCAGCATAAATACCAAATAACATTACATGCATTCCCTGCAGGATAATTTTCTACATGATTGGTAATACACATTCTGAAGGAGTGTTTATGTATGCATATAATGATATTTACACAAATTTTTTTAAAAGTTAGTTCTAATACCTCAAGGAGATATTTAGACACTGATTTGCAAAGTAAATACAGCAATATTTTGGAAGGAGCCGAATGCTCAATGATATATAGTCAAGAGCAAAGACTGAAGCGCATTTATGTTCATGAGCCAAAGCCAACTACTGGTAAATGTAAACAATCACACAAGTATAACTCACTGACTTGCTGTTCAAACTTAATGATAATTGCATAATTTTGAGTTTTTGCTTGGATGCTTAACATTCAATAAAAGTAAATTGGGAAGTTATCTATCCCTTTACATGTGCACATATCCCTAGGTCTGCCACTTCATTACTTCCTCACTCTCTTGCATTTTCTTCAGTTTAGTATAATTCTTTCTTGCTTTTTTTTTTTTTTTTTTCACCAAAGGCTTACTATTCATTCTTTTAATTAAATTCTTGCATCACTAAAATACTACAATCATTTAAATGTGTCCAAGAATGACTAAGTTATAACTTGTCAAATCTATAAAACCGACACCTGCTTTCTAGCTCAGCAGTAAAATGATACGCACAGTAAATCCCTATTGTACATAAGTCAAAAATTTGGCTCTGGGTGCCAACAGCAGCCAACCACTTAATGTCTCCGTATATAGACCTTTGCTAGTGATATCTGCAATATTCACATTTCTCTCACATTCTCTACTTGTTTTACCACATGATACACAAAATAATACTGCAAAAAAGAAGACTGCAATGAAAATAGCAGGTAATTTGGACGACAATTTTCTCACATTATGGCTCTCATGTATGCGAATGTTGCACCTGAGGTGATATCGGAGTTGTTGTTTTGCATGATGACTTTTCCTGATGTGCCAGTGCGTGCACCTCATACGTGCAGCTCGCATACACTTCTCGTTAACATGTAGATGCATGACTAATTTCCAATATTGCAATTTAAACGAAATTAAGCCAGGTTCCCAGTCTACTTCGAAAGATGTTTTTGATTGATTTTCGATGAATCCATATTGATTTAATTTGCAACATCATTAACTGTAATTTTGTGTTTTCTTTGTTATAATGTCCCTTAATTTCTCCTCATCCCTACTTCTCTCTATCTCTCTTTCTCTCAGAGAGAAGCATACAACTTTAAGCAGCTTCTGTTGTCTTTTTACATTCAAATGCCATTCATTTACTGTTCCTTATGAAGTTCACAACACTGTCAACTAAACATGGACAATATTGAGTCTCACACCAGGGATCCGTAAATAACTGTTAAAACTCAACCATCAATAAATGAAGCACTCATTACTGATCTATCAGCTAAGAAATGAAAGCACCTGATTACAATACAAAACAGACATGCTGTCTCCTTCTCATTTAAAATTTATTAACTCAAACGGACAGTTTAAATCTCAAATGTCACTTCATATTTCAAGAGCTAGACTAAATCATCAGCACCATTCTCTCTGGAGACACATTTGTCTTCGGCACTGAATCTCAATCGATTTTCTGCATCTGAAACAGGAGACAATCTTATAAGAAAATTTCAACTTCCCTGAGACATGAGAGATTTTGAAGGAGACAATCTTATAAGGAAATTTCAACTTCCCTGAGACATGAGAGATTTTGAACAACAGGGGCCTTGCATTTGTCTAAACCTCTTAGACCAATCATTTGTTTTACTATATACATGTACTTTCTGATGAGTCCACTCACTAAAGTTACTGGTCTTAAACATTAGCCACATCTTTCTTGTTATAAAACAGGCAGAAACTTTTATCTAACTGAAATAATGGTCACGGTTTACAGAATTACCTTGGGTCAAACTGGAATGACATATTTGATCTAAGAGTTTAGACCAATTTTGGAGGGGGACTAAAGCTCCTTTCTAAACCACATTGCCCCACAGTGGATTGACACCAGTTTGTACAAATCAATTTTTTAAGGGCGCATTCCCATAGATATTAGATCGATCTATCCCCTTGGGGAGTCTCACCAGATTACTGTCAGATAATCCGGCTTAATTTAATAAATGTCCGTCCTGCCTACTACAAGCTGTAAGGGGGTAATTAACTTTCGTGCCCGCTCGGCTGACAGCTATTTAGCGTGAACCCCCAGGGAGTTAGGTCGATCTAGTTGGATCGATCTTATCTCTGGGAATGCGGTCTAAGGTTACCATGCACAGATTCAGCACGAAGGACAAAGAGAAGGTCATCACTGAAGACATGATCTTTCAATTTATACCAGAAATCTGTAATTTTCTACAAAGTACTTAGTACTAATGTAGCACTGAGGCCCTCTGTGTTGTATCAAGTCCTTCTTCCTCACTTTATTGATTTTCCTCCCTCAATATCTTATACACTGAACACAAACTAGTGCCAATGACGATCTTGGTTCTTTGTTTCTGATGACAATTAATAATGTGTTTATTAAATTTCTTCTAGTAAGTAGAAGTAGTACTTAAATCAAATTCACTAAGGGTAAAACTTGGTATGAAACGTGCCTGTACAGTGTATCTGAATTCCCCATGACTCTTACATGTAGTAATTTTACTGACAGTGGTTTGCCACTTTATGATTGATCAATTTAACTCATTTATGCAGTATGTGTATTGTGAACTCACAATTAAACCAGTGAAAGATGAAAAAAGACTCAGATACTGAGATAGGCACAATGTCTGAACCTACAATACTATATGTAATCTTTCAACTGGTAATGATTAGTAACATATTAGACTATTTCTGTAAGTGAACAGGCCCAGCTGTTACTGACTGGTCTAAGTTAGTTCATTTAGTTAAGTTAGTCCAGTATGTGAACAGGCCCAGCCCAGTCCAGTTAGAGACTGGTTAAGTTAGTCCAGTATGTGAACAAGTCCAGTCCAGTTACTGCATGGCATAGTCCACTCAGTGACTGGTCCCAGTTACTACTGTATGTGAACAAGCCAAGTCCAGTCAATATAGTTAACACACACATATATATATATATATATATATATGCCTGTGTATATATATATATATATATATATATATATATATATATATATATATATATATATATATATAATTGGGTGGTCTATAAGTTAGTCTACAGCAAGTGTAAAAACAGGCATGGAAAAGACCAGTTATAGTGACTGGTGTATTTAATTAAGCATACAGTCTGTGAACAAGCCAAGTCAGTGCAAGCCAATGCAGTTAATTAACATTACTGAATGGTCTAAGTTAGTCCAGTATGTGAACAGGCCCAGTCCAGTCCAGTTCCTGATCATGGTTGGTCTATCATTTAGTTTGTCCAGTAGCACTGATTGGGTATGCTAGTTCTTAAAGGTTACCCACTCACCACAGCTACTGTGTATTTAGTGAAGGTCAAATTATCAAAGATTTTCTGTAAAACCAGGCTCCTTCTGGTCCAGACTGGACATTTAGAGTTGGTAATGGGTCATTGATCAAAACATTGGCCAGGCAAGGAATCTCTGGAATCAAGGAGAATCTCTTGCTCTGTTAAAGTCATTTAGTCATTCCTAAAATACATGCAGACTGGAGGCATAAAAACAGAATTCTTCAATTATTCTGACTTGGAAACAGATGTTCGTTTCAGTTTTGGTAGTTTTTGCTGCAAGTAGCATTCCTTGGAATTGTTCTGTGAAGTTTGATATATATTAACTTTGAGCAATTATAAATCAAAATTATACATGAATAAGAAACATCATTAAT